CGCCCTTCTTTGGGGGGCGGGGGGGGCGGCAAGCCCCGGGAGGGGAAGGAGGCTGGCCCCCAGGGAGGTGTTCTGTGCTCAGGCTAAAGGGAACAGGCCAGGCCCACCCAGCTGAAGAAAAGGAAGGCTGCTCTGGGGAGAGAGGGAGCCCGGCCGATCCGCTGTGATGGTGAGAACACAGAGCTGCCCCAGCCCCGTCACTCCCCGGTCCTTGGAAAGCCCCTGACTTGTTTGCTCTGCCACTTCCTGCCTTCCAGGTGCCTGGGACCCCAGGCAGGGTAGCCTCCTGTGAACACACACACGCACAGGGCTGCGTGCGGGCAAGGCTGTCACGGCGCTCTGCTGAACCTGCAGTGACCTGGTGGCCTTAGTGGCCAGGAACCTTGCCCTTGGCCCCCCAAGGGCAGCCCCACCGTGAGGGCCAACGGCCGGAGCAAGCTGGTTGGAGCTGACAAGTGAAGGAACTGAGAGAGCTGGCCTGCTTTCTGTCTCCGGTCCCCACTCCCCATCACCCACCCCACCTCCGGGCAGAAAGAGCCACACCCAGGGCGCCCACGCCGCTGGCTTTTGACACCTTATCGCTGGCTTGATTTGGCAACACTGCTTTCCCCACTAAAGCAAAGAACCGCCTGAATGACAAGCTTAAGCAACCTGCTACAAACACTTTTGCCACCCGCTGGGTGCCCAGGTGGGCACTGGGGATCCCAGGTAATAACACTGTCTGGGCTTCTGGCAAACAGGTCGCCCACTGACTCATCTCCATCCACATACCCAGGGAGGGACGTTAGTTGATTTCTCCATTCCGGAGATTGTTGATTACATACCCAGTCTGTGCCGGGCATGTTCTAGATGAGGAGATACAGTGGCAAAGACTGTTGACCAAGTGCTTGCCCTCATGAAGCTGCGATGGGAATGGGGGTACAGATCACAAGTGCACACAGGGTCATCTGGGTGGCTCAGTCAGTTAAGCGTCTGACTTCAGCAGCTCAGGTCAGGATCTCAGGGTCCTGGGATTGAGCCCCAGGTCAGGCTCTCTGCTCAGCAGGGAGTCTGCTTCTCCCTCTCCCTCTGCTCCTCCCCCCACTCATGCTCTGTCTCTCAAATAAATAAATAATATCTTAAAAAAAAACAGATCACAAGTGGACAGGTATATACTAGAATGTCCAGGAGCAAGGGATGCTGAGGAGGCAAACAGCAAGGTGAGGTCAGAGCTGGAGGTGGGGGCGGGAGGGGTTCTCTTAGAAGAGGGTGGTGGGGAGGTGAAGGAGGTGACAGAGGGGCCACAGGGCCATTTGGGAAAAGTGTTCAGGCCAAGAAAAACAGTGAAGGCTGTTGGACCCAGTGTGGCTGCTGGGGGCAAAGTGGAGACGTACGAGAGGCATTTCTGTCCTGCCAGTGACTTCCCGGGGGCTGTGGGCACGGGGCAGCCTCCAGGGGTTGTGCCTGCCCGGCATCCCCATCGCCTCCTCCGATCTCCCTCTGGGGAATGTCTCCTTCCTATTCTCAGCCCCTGGGTCCCTCTCCCAGACGCAGCTGCACACACAGTCCTTCAGCCCCTCCCCCCCCCCCAGCACTGGCTCAGCGACAGCCTGGGGGCCACAGTCCTCACGCCTTCCCTGGAATTACTGAACAGGAGAGCTCTCTTTCCACTGCGGGATCAGGCTGGGTAAACAGAAGCCAGAGGTGGGGGGTGCTTCCTGACAGTGAAACCAACACAGAGCAGGGCAGAGCCAAGTGAGACAGAGTCTCCCTATACCGTATGAGGCCAGGCTCCGGGGGCTGGCTCTCGGCTCCACGGGTCAGGTGGAGTGGGCTCCATGTCCCTTGGAATCTAGACATTCTTCACTGAATCAGGGTAACATTTTGGGGATAAAAGTACATCTCATTTCATTCTAAGCAAGACCTGAGATGTCCCAGCTCACCTCACCTTCATCTGCTGTTTGCCCCGCCCTCCCAGGGCAATCTTTCCCTGGAGACCAATTGCAACTGAACAGTGCTGAATAGAACAGCCATGCATCGGTTGGAACCTGGATTCGCACACTGGCTGGTGTCACGAAGATCCGTGACTGGGGCTTGGCCCCCAGCCTCTGGGCTGTCACTATCCAGCTCTCAGATCTCAGCTCAAATGCACTCATCACCAACCCCTCCCTGACCTCCCCCCAAACTAGGTTTGGCCCTCCTCCCACCCCCTTTCTTGACATCTGTGCTTTCCCTTTATAGTGAACCTGATTGTGTTAGGGGTTTTTGCTACATGCCTCCCCCCCAGGCCCTGTGAGCCCTGTGAGGGCAGGGGCTGGTTCTTTTGCTTAGCGCTGTATTCCCAGGGCCTAGGACAGAAGAGATGCATTGCAGAGCTGGGTCCTGGGCCCCACCAACACTTCCTGTGAGCAAGGCATACGGTCTCACTTCTGCTGACAAATAAAGCAAAAGAGAAGATGGCCACCGAAACCACGACTATGCTGACCTTTCAGAATTTAGGCTGTCAAGAGAGTGATCCTTTTTTTTTTTTTTTAGTATGGTAAAAAGTTTCTTTGGTGGGGAGGAAGGGTTTAGAAGCTAAAGTCACTGGAAACCCAGAGCAGGCAAGGAACATTTTAAAGACAGCCTGGCTCAAATTCCCAATTTTTCAGCGTAAATTAACTGGTCCATATTTGCTGACTGAAGAGTTTCCAAAGTCCTTCAGCTTCCTGACATTTTGGGGAAGCAGGATGGGGGTCATTATCTCCACCTGCGAATGATGAAGGCAAGGCTTCTCTCACCCTGCAAAGTCACCTCAAGCTGGCTCCGGGCAGCAAGCCACCTTTTCCAGACGGGGAGGACTCAGGCATACTTTGGTGTAAATTGCTCGAATTGGATAACTATGTTAGAACTGCATCTCGGGGCACCTGGGTGGCTCGGTTGGTTAAGCGCCTGCCTTCGGCTCAGGTCATGGTCCCACGGTCCTGGGATCGAGTCCCGCATCGGGCTCCCTGCTCACCTGGGAGCCTGCCTCTCCCTCTGCCTGCCGCTCCCCCTGCTTGTGCTCTCTCGCTCTCTCTGACAAATAAATAAATACATAAAATCTTAAAAAAAAAAAAAAAAAGAACCTGCATTTCTGGGTGGGAAGGAACTTCAAGGACCATTTCCTTCTCCCTCCTAGGGGTTGTTATTGCCGTGTGACCGTGTGCCAGGCACTTCTCCCTGAGCTTCAGTTTCCTTCATCGGTAAAAGGGAGCAATTAAGAGTGATATATGGGGTCACACATCTGAAGACACAGGGAAACTTTATGGCCCCAACTGTTGGCACTTGGATGCTACCTTCTTTCTTTTGGAAGAGTTACCTCGCCCTGGATGAGACAGGCAGAAGCTGTAGACTAAGAATTTGCAAAGCTGATTTGCATGTGATTTGCACAAAGTGATTATCAGAACCCAAGGAGGTCTACCCTCGGAAGGCTTCGGAGCTGGCCCTGCTGAATCTCTAAGGCCGATATCCACTGTGCCAGTCTGACCCAGAGACAGCAGCCCTCAGCTCTGAGCCACCTCAGTGCCCGAGAGAGGGCAAAGGAACTGGTTTCAAGGCAAAGCCATCACTAATCCAGGCACCTTAGGCACTCAGACTCCTTTACCTGGACCTCCTCGGCAAAACCAAGGTGCTCAATTTCACTCTGGCTACAATGCCACTTTCTGGGGGGCACCGGGTGCCCCCTTCCCTCACTCGGGCTCTTGGGTGAGGTGCAGGGAGAACCAGGGAGGGCAGAGCAACCAAAGGAAGGGAGGGAGGAAGGAAGGAAGGAAGGGGAAAGAGCCGGCGGTTGAGACCAAATGGGCGCGGAGAAGCGGGCAAAGGGCTCAGGCTCGGTGGGGGGTCGGGCTCCCTCCCTCCCTCCCTCCCTCAAGCCCCTCCTGAGGTCGCAGGGGGTGGGTTGGGGGAGGGGAGGAGCAGCGGGCCCCGGGCCAGCGGCGGGACTTTTCCGGCTCCCCCACGCCCTTGGGGTCTCGGTAGGGAAGCGGGGCCGGGGGTGGGGGGGCGGGCGCCCGACGCCCTCTCACCTTTCACTTGTGCCTCATACTCGGCCTGCAGCCCCCGCTCCCGGCGCAGCTTCCCATGCGCTGCCATGGCTTCCGGGCGGCCGCGCCGTCGAGCCCCACTGCTCCCACGCGGCCGCGAGCGGGCCGGGCGCCGGGACCTGGGGCT